AATTGAAAGAAGAAAAAGGTAACTGGGACCTAACGAGAGAGCGACAGGGTTTGTCCTGAGACCTGAGAAAGCTGAAACGCTCTTTCAGAAACTCGAGACACGAAGGGTTATGAAGAATATTGTAGAGAACAGAGACAATATGCAAAATCCTGCGGAGACGAATGAGAAGCCACTTGAGTTGATTGCAATAGTGTGAGATACGGTTAAATTTACAAAGGCCAAAGATAAACCTGATACATAGATTTTGCAACCGTTCAAGCTTATTTAGCATCTCTTCTGTAGCATCCAAACAACAGGAATCAGCATAGTCTAAAAAGGGTAAAATAAGAGATTGGGCTAAATAGATCTTAGATTTAAAAGGTAAAAAGTTTTGGAGACGCTTAAGCAAGTCCAAGGAGAAATGGACTTTTCGACTGACTTCATTAATATGAGGTGACCAAGCCAAATAGCAGTCTAAAAGTAGACCAAGATTAGTTGCAGTGGGTGCATAAGTTTTAGGCGTGGAGTTATACTTTATAAGTGGAACAGAATTTAGATCCCATATGCCACGCATACTTCCCACAATCATAGCCTGCGACTTTTTGGGATTCACCACCAAGCCAAAGGACTCTGCCCAATGGGCGATACTTCGTAAGTCAGTGTTAAGCGCTTCAACGGCTGTAACAATATCAGATGCCTCAAAGCTGCGGTAGAGCTGCAAATCGTCAGCGTAGAGATGAAAGTTAGAAGACAAAACAGAAGTGACAGAGTTAATAAAAATAGACAATAAAACAGGAGAAAGAATGATGCACCCTGAGGGATGCCCGCAGCTAAGTCACACCAATCAGATGAAACGTCATCACAACGAACACACTGCACTCGGCCTCCAAGGTAGGCATCAAACCAAGCCATAACCGAAGAAGAAACATTAAAGGAATGAACAGTCGCAAGTAAAATGTCATAGTCAACAGAGTTGAATGCACTGCTGAAGTCCAGAATAAGTAAAGTCAGAAGACGATTATCTATTGCGAGGCGAATATCATCCGTTACCTTCAACAGTGCAGTTATAGTGCTATGGCCAGAAGAAAACCAGACTGAAACAGTGAAAGCAACTTATTAGAAGAAAGAAAGGACATTAACTGCTTGTTGACAATGTGCTCAATATAGACATAGACTTTAGAAATTTCCATATTTGAGTGGAGTTGCAGTTTTCAACATTATCATGAATGTGCCGCCTTTTAGCATCTCTGCGCAAACGACTACAGCGATTACGGAGACATTTAAAGCGAGCAAGGTTCTCATCTGAAGGAAGCGTCCACTTCCAGTGTCGTTTCGCCTTGTATCTAAGAGCCATGACGTCCTTAATAACTTAATTCTTAATCCTTAATACATTTCATTTGTGAATTTTGGTATAAATTTTATGATACCCTGTATTTTTTTATTATTTTGTATTATTTTGAGAAAAATAAATATCATAAACTATATTTCAAAACGTAACACTGCCTTAGCATGGACGGTGTGAGCTGAACTCTAATACGTAATTATATCTTTTGTTCTCATTTGTGTTAGCGTGCATTTTACGTCGTAATTATTGCGTTTACAATGAACGATGTCACAACATGACCGTAACTGTCTGTTGATAAGTTTCCATATAAAAAGGTCGTAAGTGTTATGACGATAGATTGAAAACGTCGTATATGTTAATTAGAAGTGAAAATTTTTAATACACAACGACTTTTCCAAATTTATTCTAGTCTGTGTGTTTAGAGTAACTGACGCGTTGGAGTGATTTGCATTTCTCTGTTAATAATACATGAAATTCATTATTTTCTGACCAGGTAATTGTTTATAAATCAGTGTATTATTAGTCGATTTATCTTCTCCAACCAGATTATCCAGTTGCTGAGAAAAAAGCGTGACTGCATGAGAAATACTGCGATAATCTTTTCAAGGTTGTTTGTTGACAGGAATGATTTGTTAAGAATACGAAATATACGCCTGGTGTTTTAGAATGTATACTGTTTTAAAAATGGGTCCTCATTATTATTTTTTATTTATTTAAACTATTGCACATAGAATAGTACAAATAGCGGACTTAATGCTATTAGGCAATCTCCACCAGTCAACCGGAAAGCTGGGTTAAGAATAATTAATAGTGGTGCATAACATGACAATAAAAAAAAGGGTTAAAGTTTATAAATAATTATGATACATATTTTACACACAATATAAATATACATACAATATGTAACACATAAAATAATATACTGGACGAAATATATCCATATATAAATAATCTATACTAGTATATATATATATATAGTATATGTATATATATATATATATATATATATATATATAGTATAGTATTTAGTTTATATACAATATATAGTAAATACTTACATAATATATTATTATATAGGGTGCAGATTGAGACTCCCGCATGAAATTGCTAACTAATTGCTTGAAAGCTAGCTTATTCGGCGGCTTATTGTGCGTAATTTGTTTCATGAAGTTTGTTTCGTATTGTTTTTATGACTTTCATGTGATAAAAACACTTTCGACGTATGATCACATGTGATTTTACTATACCAAAGGTACGAATTGTCATTCCAAGGAAAAAACCAAGAAAAGTGTTATAGCAGAATAGACAAATTAATTCATATGCTCTTTACATGGATTAAACTATTTCATTGTAACTGTTCACTTTAACTGCAATAACATTATTTAATATTTCAACTTGCCATCACTTTGTTAGAAGTTATTCTTCATTTAGTTGATCTAAACGATCATTAGAAATCCACTAATGAAAAAACAACCAATGTCTATTAGCTGTCTGTCCGCTGCAATATGCTGGCTCGCAGGTTTGCACGTTGTACAAAAGAGGTGAAGAAGACACTTTTTAAAGCTTTCTGTCAGTCCTTCTACACGTGTAGCCTGTGGGTCAGTTACACGCGCAGGGCATATAGCGCTGTGCGCGTACAATACAACATCGCGTTGAGGGTGCTGATGGTGCCGGGGCGCCGCTGTAGCCTCAATATAATGCGGAAGCGCTGCGCTTCCACGCTGCTCCGTGTGCGTGCCAGCCCCAACACCATTCTGAACACGGTTGCACACAGGTGGAACAGCCCAGTAATTGAACATTGGCTGGGTCAATATAAACATTAAATATATAATTACATAAACAAAATGTATCACTAACACTATAGTCACGTAAGAATTATGATTGTATACTAACAAAATATGGATTATTTTTATCTGAAATAAATTATATTATTATTGTTATTAGCGCATTTACGCCCTGCATCCGATTCGCATTCGTTTCGAATTCGGGAAAAAACGAATATCGCTTGTACACCTAGAGATAAAATACTCCCTGTGAAATTTCGGACCATCATTTCTCGGATTCGAAACTGGGGGTCTACTCTCGATCTCCGTCTGACATCCGTCCGAAACAATTACTGCCAAATAAGCAATACTTGACCAAATGAAAAGACGCGTGATGCAAGTCTTTACAGCACGATTGGGCGTATTTTTTTAAATGTGAAATTATCAAGTGCTTGGCCGTAATATCGCACCCTTGGTCTAATAAGGCTACATCTGCAAAATAAAAAAACAGGAGACATGTTCCTGAGATTCTACGAACGAAATTAGTCGACAACTTTTTGTGCTTAAATAGGAGAGTTATAAAATTTCACTTGTACACAATTTGTTTCATGTTGTTCGTATTGTTTATGACTTTCATGTGATAAAAACACTTTTGATGTATGATCACATGTGGCTATATTATAATACCAAGGGTACCATAACAACTTACTTGATGTTATGCGTTTTTCTAGTAAATGCCCATTCACTCTAACCTTGAATTACCTTAAATTATATCTCAAAATTTTGACGAAAGACATCGCAACATAGGGAATGGAATTTTGTATGGAATTATGTGATTTTTTTGATATTCTAAATATTTCAACTGTAACTAGCATCTTTTCTTTAGCCACATAGAAGAAACTACGCTTCAGATTACAAATCATAAAATTGAATAAGGAAGCAGTCATTTCTTATCATTCTGCATATGCATTACTAAAAGTATTACTTAACTCTTATATCGTCTCGTAAGAGAAAATTTATATCACAGTTACTCAAAAATATTCAATATATTTAAACATTTTGTTGATGCTTTTGAGCTATATATCTAATTTATGAGACACATATTTTTAGGGTCTTACCTGAAGATATGTATATCACATAAATATTTACTTTATAGTTTTATCAACAAGTTTCATACACATGTAACAAACAAAATTTTATTCGAAGGTTCTTGTAGTTTTTTGCACACTTACATCGATTATAAAATAGTCTTAAGTCGTAATTTAATTACCAATGTCCTTTATAGCTCTGTCCTTACTTCAGAAATAAAACACATGGCGACCATTTAAATTTTAGTCTTGTATCCCGCCTCCCGCCTCTTGTCCCGAATTGCCTTACGAACCATACCATTGGTTGACTAGAATCCTCCCTTCTCCTATCGTTTTGTAAAATTCTTCGCTGAAATTAACCGCAGATTCATGAGTTTATTTTTCGAACCTTGAAATTGGTTCCGGCAGCTGTACTATATTTCTGAAAGTTGGTAGAACTGTTAAAAGACACGTTCCTTGGGAACAATGACGTAAAATTGTTAGACAAACTTTTCTTACAAAAATCTTGGATTTTGATTACTCTTCCAGTTTTTATCATAAATTTATTTGTGGATGAATAAAAATTCCATTAATTGCTTTTAAATCCTTTTTTTAAAGTAGGTACTTCAATGGAATATATAATAAAATAAATAAAAATAAAATAACTTTATTTCAGACTTCTGAAGGTGGTCCATATAAAAGTGTTACTTAGTTAGTTAGTTATTTTAAAACAAAATTAAAATCTTAAGGAACTAAGTGTTAGTATACAATAAAAATCCAAATAAAAAAATAAAAATATAAAATCAGAAACATTGACATCGTTCATATTTTAACGCGCAATGACGTTTACCGGGCCAACATTGGGCTGTCCCAGCGGCTCGCAAACACGCTCAGGACACGGTTGGGGCTGGCGCGTAACCGTGCTTCCAGCAAGGCACACCTCTTCCTCATCACGGCTGCGAAACCGTCGGTCCTCAGCTCAGCGAACATGCCGGACGCGCTGCACCGCCGCGGCAGCCCCAACAACACCAGGAACGCGTTGTTGTATCGCACGCGAAGTTCATTGTACGCCTTCTGCGTGTAGTCCACCCACAGGCCGCACGAGTAAAAGGAGACATAAAAAGCTTTGAACAAAGTAATTTTCACATCCCTTGAACACCACGCGAACCTGCGGGCTAACATGTTACATCGGACGGCCAACGACCTCCGCTCCCGCTCTAGGTCTACATTATCGCTAAGGTTATCAGTGACCCAGTGACCCAAATATTTAAACTTTGTAACTGTTTTCAAAGAAGCACCTGCGAGAGCGAGCGGCATGGTATAGGTTTTGGTACCTGCCTTGAAAACCGTGAACTCGCTTTTACTAACATTTATAATATATTATATATAATAATATTTGAGTCCATGGGCCACCGCATAACGTTCACAAATGTGCAGAAGACGCTTGAGAGCACCTATCGAGGAATCGTGCTTAGATGACTGACAACGTTTTCCCTTTGGATGGCTAAACTTATTCTATGACGGATGTAGCAGTGTTCTGGTTACCGGAGGCTTAAACAAGGGAACTGAATGCTCCGTAGCATGGAGGTTCACCTGTGGCTCCAGAGAGACAGGGTTTCCACCGTAATAAGCACAAAGTTGTAATACTAGCCGAAATTGACTTAATAAGGTTGAATTATATCTTCTTATCGTATCGATGGCATACACTATACTATAATATGACCCAGAACTCCACGCCACGACGAGCGCGTCACTAGTAGCTGCCATTAAATCCTCAAACGTGCAGGTGTTAGAGCGTACCCTAGGGCACGATGTGAGACGGGCCATCGTTTGCATAGCACCGCATAAACAATCCAGGTTAGAACCATTCGGAAATCCCCACTTCAACAAGTTGTCCTTAATTGCCATCACTACCTTACATGTCACCAACATGTGAACCAAACAATTGAGCGAATGATAACGATTGCACTAATGCAATCCGCCGCCGTTTCTTTAACGTTTTTTTTAACTACCAAGTGAAGGGACGAAAAAGTCGTACGCCTAGTGGTACGCAACACGCCGTTCATAGCTTTAAATCACAAACAAAGACATAAGTTACTAAGTCTCATGTGCCTGTAGTTTCATCAACACCCTTACCCTTCAAAACCAAAACGCAGTAGGTGATGCTTATGTTATTGGTAGCAGAAATAGGTAAGGTTGCAGGACTTCCCTGGACGAACTCTTTCAGGCTCTCTGGCAATCATTGTTAAGTTACTGCATTACACCCTAGGGCGGTGTACATTAGACCATTCTGATAAACTTATCTTATCTTAACCTACGTATAATTCATTCGTACGAGTATTAGGCACCAGTACACGCGCCGTTCCTGCCAACTCGATCAACCCGCAGAGCTTGCAGAAGACATTGGTGTCGCTCAGGTAAGTACTCTGCTTATCTAATTAATATACCTACCATTAGTCCATCGAGTATATAACCAATAGAGACGAAATGTCATTTCATTTGTTTGAAAACTATTCTGCCAAATGATGAATGCACCAAAGCTTTAGTTTTGCTGGTAATTATAAAATATTAGGACTTCATAAAATATTCAAATTACGTGTAGGTTATTTTTAATAAAAGGTATAAAAGCAGTTCAGAAAGTCAATTTTAAGAGCCATTCAGTTATGTTACGATAGTAACGTGATTATTAAAGCTTTGACCTTTGATGAATGCCCGGCTAACATATCAATGTCTAAAATGCTGGGATGCGTTCTAGCACGCCCGAAAAACCTTATAACGAGCTTTAAGTACCCGACCACTAACCCTCACTTTTTTTTGATCCAGTACTCATATTAAAACTTGATAGAAATGCATTTGAATACTACAAAATATTGAACGATAGTATTGACGCATTATTGAATGGGTATACATAAAAAAATTCAAGGATTGAGGAAAGAGAACAATTTAGATTAGCAAACAAATTGCACATTCAATTTAAGCAAAGTGAAGATAAAACTAGCCGCCCAAATATTTAGCCGCAACGTAGCAACTGCATTGCTATTGCAGGAATGAACTTAAACTACCTACATTCCAAGACGTAGATGCAACAGCTGATGTGCTACTTCTTATCGATAGCTTGTTTGACATACTGGATTTAAAAGGTTCATGGTTACAGCTTGAAATGGGCACTTACTCACCCACAGTTGAGAAATTAGAACAGTGCAAAGATTTTATTCTAACCCTGAATACCAAAAAAAAAAAAACCTGTAACATAAAATTAATAAAATCGCCTCGAAGCGTGGGATTATTCGGATTTTGTGTAGCAATACAAAGTGTGAATGGAATATATTATAATGATTTAATTGTAAAAAGGAGTTCCCGTATCAAGTATGTACCCTTCCACATTGTCTCACAAGACCATATTATATAGTTTTTTTTTTTGGCAGTATTAGATCTCACGGAGGGAGCAGCGACAATCCGACACCACGTTTATTCGAAACCATTTACAAATAGACGAGTTGCTCTAAGTATCAAGTGGTAACTGTGTACTTTTAGAGAAAATATCAATTTTAAATTGTTTATCTGCACTACAAAGAATCAACGCAACTACAACGGCAGAAGATAAAGAAGAACCTCAGATCGGTCAGGACCGAGAGTCAATAAGATTTAGAGATAGCATCAACTTGCTTATCTCAGTTTCCTGAAAGTGCTATTGAGTACATAGCTGGTTTCGTAGCTAGCTCATTAAGGAAGCGCTTAAGTCTGCGTAGGTGCATTAATTAGACTAAATCAAGATAAAAGTACAGACAGACGTACAGAGACAAACGTGGTTTAACCTACCCTTCACGAACAGTTACAAAAATTTGTCGTCTCTATGAAATATGCATAAAATCATATTTCAAAAACCCGAACAAAAGCCAACCAATTTTCTGGTCAATAAATACTTAAGCAGTTTTATTGGTGAACAACTGTTTCCAGAGAAAAATTACATTGCATTACTAGTTTTTGAAATGAATCAGTCTTCTCACTTGCTTTTCATGATATGACTTTCTTTTGGTAAGGAATGCTAGCCTAGTATCAATATAATTTTTTATTACACTTTGAGTCAAATCAATTATTTGGTTTGTCTCTTTAGCATAATATTGGTGGTACTGATATTCTGAAAATAATTTTTCTCCTACAAAACTGCTGACCGTTTTGTTCACTAAAAAATCGCTTGTATATTTTCGTTAATTTACATTATCGATGTAATATTTTTTTATAAATTGCTCAGAGCGACGGCAAAGTTTTTGCACACAAATTGACGGGTATATTAAACCACCTTTATCTCTGTAAAAAATTAGACTTCTCTTATTTTCTGACAAGGATACCAACGCTTGCATGCAAGTGACACATTTTATGCGTTTAATCAGTGCGCTAGACACATACCCTGCTATGTATTCTATTACATTTTCGGAAAACTGCGAAAGTTCTACAATCTATATCCCAATATCAAGTTCTTCTTGGTTTTCATCATTATATGGCCTCTTCTGTTTCGCTGTGAGTTGTCAGGTTTATCCTTGCGATTGCGGAAGAGCAATTAAGAATAGGATTTTTTTCTAACTCTATGCAGTTACCAGTAGTTGTTTGCACTAATTCGGTGTGAATCAAGTATTTCTTATAAATTGCTTCGAATAATCGAGGAGTGGGGTTATCATTTGAGCCACCGTGTGATCTCATATTAGCAAAAAAAAGTTCTATGTGATCTTGTGAAATTTTGTGCATCGGTAAGTATTTTATGAGACAATTTTCGTCACAAATTAAATCTTTAAACATACTTTTAGTACTTTCGATGGCCACACAGAAACCAAGAAATCCAGTAAACCGCGGTGAATCTATTAATTTTACTTGTTGCCTCTTGTTTCGTGTTTTTAGTTTTGCGGTACAATTCAGCTAAATTTTTTTACAATTCTCTAATCTTCCAAAAATTTTAGCGTGATTGTTCAAGTTCAAAGCACGTTTGTAACCGTACCCATGAACTCTGGAATCCAATATGTCAAATAAATCATTTATGAGTTGGATCATTCTGGACGTGGCACCAACACCTTGAAAGTCTGACAATTGTAACTCCTTTTCACATAAGTCTAAAGCTGTAGCGACACTGCAGCTAAACAGCTGGCTAGCTAATTTAACTTTCATTATATTTGTTATAAAGTGTATGTGTTCAGGGCGTAACTTATTGACTAAATGAAAATTCTCTTTCTCTTGAAGTTCTTGTAATAATTTTAATCCCATCGTATAGTACTACCGTTCTCATTTTGGAACTGTTGATAATTTTGAAAAGTGTTTCTACTTAATTTGAGCATATGCACTGGATCTAAATAGATGTAAATATTAACACCCATCACAGGATGCTTAAAGTTTGTCTTCAACCTATCATTTTTTAATTCGCAGCCTAGTTGCTTGGCCATAGCCAGGTTTGCTGGACAGCCCTCAAAAGTCAATGCCTTGATTATAATTTTATTTTCATGGCATAGCTCAAGTGCAATATTTATTAGGTTCGCCTTTTGTGCTCCACTGGTTTTATCAACTAGGAAGTAACCAATAGGCACTTTAAAACTGCCATTTATTGGAACTACCAAAAACACCAAAGCCTCTGCACATTCGTTGTTGCAATCAGTTTCCAGCTGATTACCGAAATCCACATAACCGAATGAACGTTGAGTAGATGGTTCGTATTCTACCTTGCTTTTTATGTTCATTTCGTCAAACACAAGAGTATATATCAATTCTTCATTGGATGACTCTGCTTTGGATTTTAACGCACTGAAGGCCTCCTTCGTAAAAACCGGCCTACCATCTACCGTCTGATGCCATTTTGCAAGAGTTCGCAAGGAAGGCAAACAATTACTGAATGTATTTTTTACATATTTGTACGCTTTTGTCGAATAAAAATTCAACGAAAGAGCGAAACTCCTCAATTCTGGCGAATATTTTTCTTTTTACAATTTTCCCTGTTCTTTGTTTTTGATATTGACGTTGTACGATTTCTTCATTAAGCACACCAATTTTCTTTAAAATGTCGCCGTCTTCCGCTTTTATAATTTTTTTTACTTCTAATTCTTTTATTATGAATTTTAAAGATGCCATCCTCTTTTTATAGTAACGTACTTTCTCGTGTAGTGCCTTAATTGTCTTATTTTTATGCTTAACTCGACTTGTCAACTCTAAAACATGTTTTTTGGTCGGAGAATTAAACTGTGTAGCAGTTTCAGGATCGGTAGCTTTTCGTTTAGTTGCCCTAGGTATAGTTGGTAAAAGTTCATTTTGAGATGATGATGGTGTCGGAGTTGCATTTT